TCGTTTCTTTTAGATTAATAAATATACTAGCCTACTTTTAACGGTATATTTATAATACTATATAAGATCTTCTTAACGTATTTATTATCGTTTACTTAGACGATATTCTTATTTACTTAGATAATAAAAAGAAATATATAGTCTATATTAAAATAGTACTAGAATAGCTTAGATAGTATAAGTTATATATTAAGCTATCTAAATATACGTTTTATTAAATAATAGTAAACTTTCTTAGCTATATAATAACGCTAAATAGCGTTTAAATAAAACTAGAGAGACTTAATATTATCTACGACTAGCTATTATCTATATTCGTTTACGATATATAAATCTTTATTAGATTTTATAATTATTATAGAAGGTTTATATAAGCCTTCGCCCGGATAGTAAGCCCTTTAAATAAGTATACTAAAGAAAAAAAGCTTAATCCCGGACTATAACGGAAATAAGAAAAAAGAAGTATATAATTAAATATAAAGATAACGGCGGCGTTTAAATAATTATAATAAGTATTTTTAGACGTATCTATTCTCGAATATTACGACCTAATAAAGCTAGTAAAACTAGAAATAAATACTTCTAGATTTACTATTAGTAGTATTATTAGTTAATAATATTTAGACGATTAGGGCTAATCTATCTAGCGCCTAATCGCGTTTTTCTTACGATAATTAACGCTAACGGAAAGTAACTATAATATATATAATTAAGAACTACTAGCTATTATCGCCTCTCTAAAGTATTAGAGATAGTATATAAAGAAAGTAATATTTTCTATTAAGATATAAATAGACTATAATAACCTTTACTTTTTTATAATAATAAAAGAACTTATAAGACGTTAAGTAAAATAAGCGAAATAGCTATTAATATTCGACTTTAATATTACTTATATAAAGGGGAAACGTAATTCCGTAGACGGGCCCTCTCGGCGACTAAACTATAATTATAGTATATAGAATAATAGAACGTATTATTCTAAGATTCTTAAGAATCTATAAGACTAATTAGTAAATAATTAAACTTAACGAGACTAAGTCCTACTTATAGTTATTAAACTAAAGAAAACGAAGTATTTAGCGAAAAGAATCGTAATCTTTACGCTTCTTAACGAGATTCGTAATTTTTAAGCTAACGACTATTATATTTAAACGATAATATAGGCTAAGTCCTAAAATAAGACTTAGATATTAAACTAGATATAAAATAATAGTATTTAGTATTTTAACTAGCGCCTTTACGTTTCTAAAGAATACTATTATATAATAATACTTAATAAGACTTATAACGATCTAATAGTAGGCTATTACGGCTATATAAGAATATTAAAAAGAATATTTAAAGAATTTTACTAGCCTTAAATATCTATAGATATTAAGAACTACGTCTAAATATACTATATATATAAAAGAATAAAGTCTATAAAATATAAGCCGTATAGGCTATTTATACTACTACTAGTACTAAATCGCCTATAGTAAGATATTACGATAGACTTTATTATAAATCTTTTTCTAAGTTTACGCTAATATAATTTAATACTTATCGTAGTAGATAAATTCTCTAAAATAGCCTATTATATTTCTATAATAAAAAATATTAACGCTTTAACGTTAGTAAACGTATTTCTCTAGAAGATTATTCGTCTAGAAGATATTCTAAAATCTATTACTATAAATAAAGGCCTAGTTTTTACTAGCTAATTCTAGTTAAATATATACTTTTATATTAGTATACGGAAAAAGCTATTAATAGCCTTCTACCCGTAAATAAATAGATAAACTAAACGCTAGAACTAAACGCTAGAATAATACTTACGTATATACTATAACTATAAGTAAGACGATTAAGTCTAATAGCTTAGTATAGTAGAATTCTTCTATAATAATAGTAAGTATCTAACTATGGGGATAATACTATTCTACGCTATAAGAAGTACTAATTCGTAGACGCTACTACCGCTAATATTATATAGTAAGACGGACGTAGAAATAGAGTTTTAAGGCGTAGCTAAACGACTATAAGCGCTAAAACGTAACCTTAAATACGTCTAGAAGAAATAAGTTAAATACGCTAATAAACGTCGCTAAAGAAGAATATTTATCGTTAAAAATAAGGTTTAGCTTTTAATAAGAAATATTATAACTAATAAACTAAGTAAGAAACTCGACTATAAATACGGCGAACCTTTCTTAATAACGGAAATTATTAACGATAATACGTATAGACTAGACCTTTTAAAGAACTAGCGTATCTATAATATCTTCTACGTCTCTTATCTAAAACTATTTTACGATAGTAAACGTAAATAGCCTAAACTATACTTTCTAGTACTAAAAGATAGTAATTAGTACTTAATAAATTATATTATCGACGAGAGGACGATAAAGTAAGATATTAAGAAATATAAAATTCGCTAGACTAACTATACCGTAGTCGATAATATCTAGAAACTAGTAAAATATATTAATAGGCCGATACTAAGAGAATATTACTAAAGAAAAAAGTAAAAGATTTCTAATAATTAAGATATTATTAGAAAAAGAGGTTTATATTATATAAAGCCCGACTATTATAGCTATTAACGCTTAGAGTTTATCTACTCTATCTACTAACTCTCTTTAAGACTTAGAGCTATCTATATTTATATTTTCTTAGTCTATAAGACGTCTAGCTTATCTATTCTCTTTATAAGTCTTTTAATCTTCTTTTTTAGTATTTTAACGCGCTTACGAAGGGCCGTAAGCTCGCTATTAGACGCCGATTCGGCGAGATTAGCCTATAAGATCGACCGCTACTATATATTAAGATTAGTTAGGGCTTAATAAGAATAATTAATATTTAATAAATATAATTAAAAGTTAGCTTATAAGACTCTTCTTCTTATTCTTAGTTTATCTACTCTTAGAATCGTCTTAGTAAGCCTAGTCGCCTATTATATATAAATAGAGAATATCGCGCTTCTTAGAAAAGTTCGTTTTTAACTACGGCTTCGTCTAGATATATACGGTTTTATAGGCGATTTTATTCTCTTTCTTAATAGCGAGGCCGATACGCTTAGTAAGAAAACCTAGAAAGTTAGAGAATAGCTATACTTATTATTAGCTATATACTCTTAATAAGACTTAATAAAATCTAATAGAATTTATCTAGAGATAATTCTAGCTAGCGGAACTCTCGTAGCTTAAATACTTCGCGCCGCGGCTATTAAGATACTCTTTCGTTAAGATACTTAGAAAAACGTACTAATTACCGGCCTTAACGTACTTAGCGTAGAGATTCTTATACTTATAGCCGGAAAAGCGAGCCGATTTAAGACGTTTACCTCGATTATAGACGTCGATAGGACTAAAAATAGCCGTAGCTATTCTAAGAAAGTAGTTAATTTAAGATAAGTATCGCTAAGTACCTCTAAGAGCTAATAAGACCGAATATATATCTCTATTATCTAGTTAGCGTTAAAGAAATAACCCCTAAACGCGAGGAAAATACGTATAATAAAAAAGTTAATATAAAGATAATAGAGGAAATTTATAAAAGATTTACTTCTTATAGTACGAAAAAAGGCCTTATCTAATAAGTAGTTTAAACTAGTTTACGAATAGTTAATAACTAGTTTATAAAAGTTATTTAAGCGGAAGTTTTTTACTACGAGGACGTAGCAACCTTAAAGAGGGGAATAATATTAAGAGACGGACCGCTAGCCTTACTAACGGATACTAGGACCTATTAAAGCTTAATACTAAGTAGAGGAAAGTAAGGCTAGTTAATTACGCATATAATATAGAACTAGCTAGCTATAAGAATGCTAGAGGAATAGAAGAATAAATCGATAACGATTCGTCTCTGTTCCGACTCTAATACGATTTATATTGTCTATCTTAAACTAATACTCTTACAAGCGTCGAGATGCCATAAGTAATTTATTAGGCTGGAGTTTATGGTCAGTGCTATTGTTTGTCCACTTTAGTTTACACTTTCCAAGTACTAGCAATCCATCCGGAACGTTAACGGTTGCTCATTCGGTGGTGGCTTCTGGACCTTAATCTCTCCCTCAGTATGTATGTCGAAGGTTGCCCACTCGTCATGGTCACTGTTTGCAAAGCTTCGTAGTCACTTTCTACAGCGAGAAGGAAGAGCACTGTCTCGATGGATTTGGAACGGAAAGAATCAGCAATCATCGAACGAAAGGGCCATCGCGGTGGTGAATGCGGGAAAAGGATTTAGAAGCAAGCGAAGAATTGATATGGACACGCAGAGTTTAAGACTGTTATTCATAACGACCGAAGACGCCCAGTTTCGTACATGATATGCAGTGCTCCAACTCGCAATTCCTCACCTTCGCACTTCGATTTGCTGGCCTACTCCGCACTTATTCTGCTCCTCATTACGCGAATAGGGCTTTATTGACGAGGCTAAGGTGCGAACGAGGCTGACAGGATCGTTCGCTTGCACCAATTGCCATGCTGGCGCGGATGACCCCAAGAACCTGCCACCATATACGAGTACTGCCATTAAGCGTATATATTTCTCACTTCCACGCAATCGTACGACTACATCATCACTACATATGCTTTGAGCCTCGCTCTTCAAGTCGAGTTGACCGGATCTGTAAACATTACATGATCTCGATCAGTCTTTGATTTCCTTCTTATGGAACACATCTGCAACCTCATCAGGTCAGCCTTCAACTCATCACGCGCCAGTGTGTCCCCCTACAACCTCGCGAACGCAGTGAGAGAATGAGAAAGCATTTTCATACCCGGCACCTCCGGCATCCAGCTCGCCCTGCTCTTGCAAAAGAACTCTCCCTTCGGCGGCAGCGCCTCCGGATCGTCTAGACTGCCCACGGCGATGTACCTGAAGTGTGGCTTCGCCGGCTCCTGCACGCCCACCATTAGCGATCAGACAGAGTAGTGAAACTCACTACAGGGAGCGAAAGACCAAGCGGCCTAGAAGGGGAGGAAGTGAGATAGTGGTGAAGTTATACCCCGTACTCGAGGATGAAGCTGCCGCAGTTGTCGCAGAACTCGCGGAACAGCACCGTCCCGGAGCCGTTGTCGGCGGCGTGTTCTTTGGGCGTTCCTTGCGTGTATTGAATCGCGTCTTTTGGGATTTTGGCTGTGAGACCATAGTTGGTGCCGAAGGCTTTCTGTTTTCGGATGTGTCAATTATGGCTATATGGGCATTATCGCTTCCGCTCGAGAATGTCGGGACACCACCGAGCAGGAGTGAGTTTGTTGAAGATTGCACGTCAGAAAGTGTACGGGCTTGGGAATTCTTCTAACCTTGCAATTCCGGCAATGGCATAGTGATGTCCGGGCATCATTTGCCGAGTTTAGGTTGACTTCGTACTGCGAAGCGCGGCAGTAGCAGCTGCCTGTGAGCTTCATAGTGGAGAGAATGGTTCGTCGGTAGGATGAGTTTAGAGATATACAGTTGTCGGTGAAGACGTGGTAGGATGAAGCTGCTGGATGTAGAAGCAAAACTCGAGGTCGCGGAGCGTAAGCCAAGTAGAAGGAGCATGTGTGATTTTGACGTCAGAGCATGCAGTGGTTGAATAAGGCAGTGATCGTCAAAGGTACGGAAAAAGCTACAACGTCAAAGTACCATTTGAGTTCGGGTATTATCAGTTAACACGGCAGTTGGGCAAGTAGAGGTTGAGGAGATGGGTATCCATTCATACCACACAGAGGAGGAGAATTCATTCCCTAGAATTACAGTAAAAGCCCCCAAAATTAAGATACGCCAAACTCACATCACCATGCCTTCATGATGCCCCATGTGCCCCCCTTTTCTTTTTGCTTGCTCTTTTCAAAAGGTTGTTCATTGCCTCAAGCCGAGCAGAAAGTTGCCACCCTGGCCTTGGCCGCCGTCCTTGCCACCACCAGGCAGATACGTGACCTGCGGGTTTCTGGACAGCATCTGGGCAATCTCCTTTTGCGTCTCAATTCTTCTAATCTGGATAAGACCATCACCGGACTTGGCAACCGCCTTGCTGATGGTCTCAGCAGCTTCGGCCTCACCCTCGGCACGGATGACGTTGGCCTGGCGCTCCTGCTCAGCCTTCTCGACGATGAAGCGGGCGCGCTCGGCTTCCTGCTGGGCGATCTGCTTCTCCTCGACAGCCTTTGTGAACTCCTTGCCGAAGGTCATGTGGGTGATGGAGACGTCCTCGAGAGCGATGTTGAATTCCTGGGCGCGCTTGAGCAAATCGGCGCGGATGCGGTTCGACACGGCTTCACGTTGGGTGATGAGCTCGGCGGCGTCGAACTGCGCAACGATGGCCTTGAGGACTTCGTTGCCAATGGACGGCAGCACACGCTCATCGTAGTCGGTGCCGAGGTTCTGATGGTGATGTCAGCGATCAGTCGACAGTGGGCGCTGGTGCGGGCAGCGCCACGGCAGCCAATTGAGCTGCTGAGAGAGAATTGATATGCGTACCTGGTAGATGCGAGGAAGCATCTTGACCTCCGGGCGGTGCAAGACCCTCAGGGTCAGGCTGACCATCTGGAGATCCTTGCTACCGGTAGTAGTGGAGATGTTGCGCGGCTTGGTGCGCACGTCGTAGACGATGGCGCGCTGTAGCCAGGGAACCAGGAAGTGGGTGCCCTCATTGACGACGTTCTCGCGCACTCCGGACAGACGGTCGAAGATGACGGCGCGGGTGCCACCCTTCACATCGTACATGGCAGCCTGGGCGAAGGACGCGCCGACGGCAAGCGGCACGGCCCACTTGTAGATGGCTTGCAGCGCGTTGGCCATGGTGGAAATAGCGGGAGGATGGGCTGCAACGGAGAGCGATTGACGAGCGCAAGCACGGAGGCGGCGTGGGCGAGCTCGAGCGGTGCGGGACGACGGGCTGTGGTCGGCGGTTGGGAATGCTCGCTAGGCGGGTCGAAGCTTCCACAGCAGCACAGGCGTTGTCGATAGCACTTTTCGGGCAAGGCCGGGTGCACGTGACGCCAAGAGCGGATTGGTTCAGCCGGCCTGCGATTCGTTCCTGCCGCCGGCGAACATCGCAACCAACGTCCAAACGCCTCACCTCCGCCCTCAACCACCTGCGCCTCTCGCCTCGCGCTCCATCCGCTCCATCTCCCCGACTCTTTCGCATACATACAATCCGACACAATGGGTGGCGGCGGCGAAAAGATGCCCGGCCAGTACGTCCTTCCCGCACCTCCGTTCTCGCGCCCGAAAACTCCCCTCGACCAGAGCTCCGCCGACAGCTCCCCCTCCGTGCTCCAATGCTGACCTGGTCTTCTTCCTGCAGGTACATGGGCTGGTGGGGAAACCTTGGTATGCACTCCCCGTCCCTGCGATGACGACGGTCCCCCGACGATGTTCCGCCGCAGTGCAAACTTCCCGCTTCATCCTCCTCGGAAACGGTACGGCATTGGACTCACAGTGATGCGCAGGCTCCCTCCCCCAGAAGGGAGTTACCTCCTACGGTCTGTCCAACAACCGCCAGAAGCCCCTGGGCGGCGCTTTCCACAACGCCATCTTCAACACCTTCCGCCGCACCAGGCAGCAGATCCTCTTCTGGGCCCCTCCCATGATTGCCGGTTACTCGATCATGCACTGGGCCATTGAGAAGTAAGTTACGGGAATAACAAACGGGCAATGGAGAACGGACCACGCGCCGTGGGTTCGAAAGGACGATCGGCTGACATCTTGGAACCTGCAGCAACGAGTTCTACAACGGCAAGGAGGGTCGTGCTCTCATGGGCGAGGAGGAGGAGTAGACGTTTTCTTGGGATCAGAGTTCAGGATCAGCTGGATGGGGAGTGGAGAAAGTGTTTGACAGCAAGAGCTGAGTGTATTGTACAGGGAGGTTGGCGATAGACTTTAACCAACTTTTCAAGACACGTTACGACCGCCAAAACTACTTTGACTGGATTTGCATGCTGGCCACACCTTTCCGATATCGTTCCGGTGGATTGTCAGAGGAGAGTGTGCTTACGGACCATAGGTTGGATGTTGCCGTTCGTCCGAGGCGCGTACCTTTTCCCACGCGCATAGCCCGAATCAACCAATTATCGAGTTCACCGATTTTAGGCTTGCAACATGCTCAATCCTGGGCCGACTGCTTCCATCTAATCCCGAGTTTCTTTTATATCCCATGGATTCAAGATATGATAAAGATACCGTCGCGTAATCAGCAATAGCATCTGTCTCTAGCAGACAAAATATCCATACCAATTGTGTGTCTCTTTAAATGCCAAGAGATGAATATGTCGTTGATTTGGATGCTCGAGGAGGACTGTGGGGAGGGGGCTTGGCAATGTTGACGGATCCGCCGCTGGTTGTTGTGAAGTGTACCTTTGCCAGGAGTATGCAGACTTTACCTTATTGTCCGCCTTGGCCTGGAAAGTACTCAAACAGGATGAAAGAGGCTGTTCCCTCCTAGCTCCTCTAGTCTCCTATAGGTTCTATCCGCTCTCACGGTAATGGCGCGCTCGGATTGGGTTAAGCTGTGTATGTTAAGACGATTGCCGAGCGCCTGGTTCCCGGTGTCCGTCAAATCGCCTTTGCGCTGCCGACACGAGCACATGTTGACCAGATTAAGCATGGAAATGGTCGATTGAGTTCTCGACGTGACAGACAAGGCGAACATCGTGTGCAGGTTTCATACTTGTTTCGGTGGTGCTTGGCGTGGAGGTAAACCAGATGCCACAAATGGGAGCCAGACTTGGCGAATCCTTTGAAGGGGCTGACCACACAGAACGCGACGGTCATGACCCGTGCCAATGTTTGATAGGTTATCAAGTGTGAATGTATGACCGGAAACTCTATGATATGATGTAGAGACGGCCGGATGTGCGCTGTCGCCGTGCGCTGGATCATGGCACTTGAACGTAGTTCGGGATAGACATGTGGATAACCCGCTGCGCCTGGGATCTGGTCTCTGTACTGGTCATAGAATGTAGACGTGGAATATTGGTGCCACCGAGCTTGAGAATCGATGTCGACGCTAGACAGAGGGTGGTAGCCGCTGGCAACGTCTCCGTCAAAAGCCACCGTTGAAGCTACTTTAGGCTCGGCTAGCCTGACCCTTGCGTTTATCCCTGGCCACTGCTTACTTGTGAGGGGCTCGGGCGATCTCTGAATGTGCTGGCGATTGCTGTCGAGGGATTTGAGATTTGATGCGGCAATGCGGGACCAGGATCTCTGAGTCAGTCACGCTTGGACACATCTTAAGGCACTCACTCACAGATTCCCCTGGTGATCATTGATCGTCATCCAGAATCTTGACAAAACTCCAAGAATAGATGTATTGAGCAAGTGAAAGCAATGGTGTGAAGTCAAGCCTTCTAACGGCGACGAGACTTTCGGGCACCACATCGATCGAGCCTGGTAGGCTTAGCAAGTCAATAAAGTGTTCTCTGCTACCATTCTGATCTCCTGACGTCCCGGTAGACATGGATACGTGATCGTCGGAGCCGTCAGGGGCACAGTATAGCCGACCTACGCGATCTGAGAATAGTAGTCCATATAGCCATGATGATCAACCTTGAGCTTTTTTGGATGATCTACTTCATTTTCACCCAAACTAAAAGCAGAAGCAGGAACAATAGTTATATTCGATTGTAGTCCGCGGCGACCCCTGCTCCTTTCTTATTTGTTCCCCTAAGCCGCAGGCTGGACGCCCGCAGAGCGAAATCACCATCAGTCACTTTCACGCATAAGTGGCTTAAGCTCTCTGTAGTCACTCCCCACAGATCAGAAAGCGATTCTGCTTTCAAGTGCTGTCCCCTGGCCTGTCTGTTCAGATGCTTTGTCGAATTTACACGGTTTCCCGTTCGTTTTGAACCGCATGAAAACAAACTTGTTCAACTGCCTTCGACGAATCTACTGATCCCCTACTCCAAAGATAATGAAGTCTTATCCCCGATTGTTATTAGCTACCTAATTTTGCACTGATATTCTAGGTGCTAAAGCTGTGCACGTACATACATACATAATGATGTCCTTAATTGAGCGTGCAGATATAATTATTTCTGAACACTTTTATCTCTTATTGTATTGTAGAAACCGTAGAAAACTCTATTTGTTCAAGCAACATGAACACATTGAAGCTTTTCGAAAGGAATGTTTTGCTCAATCTGTGTTTCACTCACGATCAAAAAGCGCGATAACTCTTGTGAAGCCCACTGTTTCCATCTGTCCAATTTTCTCACCATTCTATGTATAACTACAAGTGTCGTCGACCGTCATGCGTGCAAGGACGTTGACTCACTACACCCAGCGGCCCACCCACCATCGCCTCCGCACATCACCATCCCTCTACCAGCATATCCCATCTTCCGTAACCACACTCCGAACGATCGCCCGCTGCGATCCAAATACACCTACTTGCGCACCAGGTATTAAGTCGACCGCCACCATTGGAACCAGCCAAATGGCGGCAGCCGAAACAAAAGCAGTCCTTAAGAACCGTACTAGAAAAAAACATTTGGTCGGAGTTGAAGAGTGAGCGACAGCAGAAATGAAGAGAAACAAAAAGAAAGGATCGTGGAAACGTTTCCAGACTCTTCATACTCGTACAAGAGTGACCGCACGTCCATCGTACCGACGTCGGAAAGGAGAATGATGATGACGAGAGGTCGGGAAGCCAAAATGGCCAACCAGGAGGAGAGGAAGACAGGAAAGAGATTAAGCGTGTCGACCCAAAAGCAAACTAAAGAACAACGCCGTCGCCATGCTATATATCGTATGCTGATGCTGATGCTGATGCAGATGAACAAAAGTGAAAAAAAAAGACTCAGATCTACAGCAAAGAAACAGTTTCCCGACTTTCTCATCTTTCATCTCATGATTCACTTACTCGCGTCTATACCATTACTCATCCCGAGATGCCCTCCTTGCTCGCATAGGCCACAGCAAGGTACAGGTCATCCCCACGCCTCGTCGGCGTCAGCCTCGGCGCCCACATGGGCGTCTTGATCGCGACATCGCCCTGGCCGCCGCCTTCATGGGAGCTGGGCCAGTTCGCATGCTGCTGTTGGGGGTTGGGCAAGGCCGCGCTGCTCTTCCGCGCTTGGTCAGGATCATGCTGATGATCGCCATCGTCTTTGATAATCTGTCCCTGCGGCGTGTGCGGGCTCCTGCCGCCGACTGTCGTCTTCTTCGTCGGAGTGGTGCGACGACTGTTCCCGGGCGAGCCGTTGGGCGCCCCGCTGTCGATAATCAGCAACCCGTTTCCCTCGCCGCGGCGACGCGCCTGCAGCCCGCCCTTGGGCGAGCCGGCACTGCCATCACCACCAGCATCATGCTGCTGCTGCTGCTGCTGCACGCGCGGACTGGGCGTCCCCGTTCGGTGCGACCCGGCCGGACTCGTCCTCGGGACGGCCTGGTTGCTGGCGCGAGGCACCTTGGGGTACTTGATGTCCGAGATGGGGCTCCTGTCGTCGACGCTGTTGGCGTCGTCACCGTGCTGCTGAGGCGGTGTGGTCTTCACCCGCAGCGTCGATGACGACGGTGCCGCGACGACGGCGTGAGGATGACGACGGTGGTGGCTGTCAGCTGCTGCCGGTGCTAGCACCGCGCCGAGCTGCTTGGCCGCATCGTCGTCGTCCTCGGTCGGAGGGCTCGGGTCGCCTGGCAGCGATGCGCTCTCGAAAGACGTCATCGACGCACTCGACGTGGAGCGCTGGGGCCGTCCATGGACAAGCGGCGGACGTGCTGTTTGGCGGGGTGCTTGACGAGGCGGACTCTGGGGTTGGGGCGGGAGTGGGGGCCTGGCGTAACAAGGCTTGTACGGCCGGTATTGGCCGCCCTGCTGGGTCGCAGCAGCAGCAGCAGCAGCAGGTTGCCGGGTCGACGACGACAACGGCGTCGATGACGGAGGCGGGCCGCTGCGCTGATTGGCGGGTGTGGAGAACGGCGGTGATGCTCGACGATGGTGATGATCTTGTTCCTGCTGTTGATTATGACGACTGACAGCGGCTGCAGCAGGGACGGATTGGCCGATAGGTGGTTGAGGTGGGGAAGGTTGACGCAGGGCTGATGGGTTCGCATGCGAGCCCTGCAGCGGCGCCGAAGCCTGCTGGCCAGTCGTTTCTCCGGAGAGATGGGCGAGTGCCGGCTGGGGCGGCATCACCCGGCTCGGGGCAACAGCAGAGGAAACAGGCATCTGGTGCGTGTGCGTTTGCGTGGGCGGTGGGGCCATTGGGTTGGTCTGAGCTTGCCGTTGTGGAGACGGGCGTGACGAGGACGAGGAGTGGCCGAGGACGGCGGGAGGAGTGGCAGCGTCTAGAGGCCGCTGCGGCCCGCTGAAGCCGCCGGCATCGCTCGTTGCGTGCCCGTAGCTCTCGGGCGGCGTTTGCATGATGCTGGTCGGCGGGCTGGTGTAGTAGGCCGGGATGTAGGATGAGCTGGCGGTGGAGTTGGTACCGGTGAACTTGGTGCTGCCGCTCGAAGCGCTGCTGCTGTGTGGACCTGGCGGAGGCATCGCGGGCAGCGTCGCCGGCAGCTGGTACAGCGGCAGCGGCGGCTTCGCTACATTGGGCGGTCTCGCGGCTCCGATCCTCAACGGAGACGGGATCGGCGGAGGGGAGGGCGTCGGCTGGCGAGGATATTGCCGTTCCTGGGGCGGGATCGCAACAGACAACGACGAATCCGGGGCGCCGCTCGGCGGAGGCCTGTACGGTCTGACGGGCGGGAGCTTGGCCGGGGCGTCTTGGCGCGGGGGAACCTGCACAGCTCGTACCGGATACATGGGCTTGCGCACCGCCGTGTCCTCCTCAAACAGGGTCCCCTGACTCATCCCGCTGTCCCTCTGGGACGGCTTCTTTCTCTTCTCGATGAAAGGCGCCGAAGTGGGCACCGGCGACTTGGGCACAGCCTCGGGCTTGCGGGGATGCACCGGCTCCGGTTTGTCTGGCAGGAGCTGGGATACGGTTCTGCTGCTCGAGAAGCTCGCAGGAGATGCCACGGGCGAGTCTTCGGTGATGGCCAGCCCGATGTTCTCCAGCGGCGTAGGGGCCCGCTGGTGCCGCGGCGGCGACGGATCGACGATTCGCACCTGGGGGATGGTCGTTCCCCCAGTGCCAACGCCTGCCCCATTGCGCGGATCTCTGCGGTTGCGCGGAGGGGACGGGAACTGCGCCAGGGCGGACGGCGACATGACAACATCGTCGTGCGAGGGCGGCGTCAGCGCAAACTTGGACCTTCCCTGCTTCTCGTTCGCTTCCTCCCCCTTCTTTCTGTCCCGCTTGCGTAGGCAAGCGAGCAAGAACAGGACGCCCGCTGCCAAGACAACTGCCGACACACTGGCCACGGAGATGCCGATGACCTGGGGGGTGCTCAGCCCACTGCCATTGCCCGACGACGCTGCTGCGGCCGCAGAGGCTGAGGCCGAGGCCGAGGAAGAAGCCGAGGACTGGGGGGTGGTGGATGACGCGGCTGCGGAGGTCGTCGACGCGGCCGACGCAGAGGTGTCCAGCGTCGTTCGAGAGCTACTAGTGCGCGACGACGAGGTCGATGAGGTCGACGAGGTCGACGAGGTCGATGCGGCCGATGAGTTCCGAGCGGTCGTCGTATTCGTGAGGGAAGTGGAGCTGAGCGGAGTCGATGATGCGGCCGATGCAGTGGTGTCGGCGGTGCTCGTGGTGTGAGCCGTGAACGTCAACGTGCTGTGGGTGGCGGCCACGGCCCCGTCCTGGCCAGAGCATATGCCGTACGTCGATGCAAGGCCGGAGACGGATGACGCACACGAGGTGAAGGCGCAGCCATAAGCCGCCTCCCCCAGCGTGAGCCCGGTGGTGCTATACTGGGAGCACAGACAGCCCAGGTCACCTGAACTCGCACAACCAAGAGGCCACTCGTCGAACAAGACGGACTGGAAGCAGCCCCATGCGCATTGCGGAACGAGAGCCTGCAGGCTGGCCGGCAGCGACAGCGCGGCCGAAGTCTGGGTCGCTGACGAGGCGGTCGAGCCAAGTGTTGAGGTGGGTTGCGGGAATGCTGACGCAAGTGATGGGGTGAAGATGATAAACTTTTTATGCAAAGCGGGAAACATATTTCTACAGAACTAGGCATGCCATGTCAACACGGGCGGCTTGGGCCGCGGAGGCAGGCTGTTGGACACACCTGAAAGAGGCCTAGTGGAGCAATTAAGGCATTGAGCTGAATGAGCGTACGTAGTCGGGCGGGATTATTAGCAACCGGTCAACGGCTGGATAGTGGGACTATGCGGAAAAGAGACAAACTGAAAAAGGACCCAGAAAAGAGAAAAAACGGGAAAAAACGATCAGACAGGAGTCGTGTCAAAGAGCATGCATGGCGGGTACGGCTGAGCGAAAGGTTTGTTGATATGTACTCGGTCGCGTCACCAGCAAGCGCCCAGCAACGGACGGCTATTGTGCTGCAGGCGCCGCAGCGCTGCCATAGGGCGCAGGCTGCACATAGCAAGCCAGGGCGACTGCAGCGAGGCGCCTCGAAGCAGCACGGCGGGCGCTCGTTGGCTCGCCGGCTCGCAGCGTCGACGTGTGTGTTGTGGGTGGTCGAGAGAGCTGCGGTTAAGCGCTGGGCGGGCAGTTCGGCGGGCAGACCAGGCCCCAAACGGAAGCGCTCGGCGGACCAGCGGACAGGCGGCGCTTACGCGCTGTGCAGAAAAGCAGCCGCCAGCCCACAACCACCCGTCTGCCGTCGCGCGCCCTGAAACCGGTCGTCCGCTGTCACCGCGCTGGCACCGCGATCGAGGTGACGTCGCAGGTGCGCGGGGCTCGATCCCGGGCGCACACCGGTCACAGGGGCCGTCCACCGCCGTCCACCGCTGATGCGTGCGTCTAAGCCTCAGGCCTGCTCAACACCACAGCTGGCAGCAGGGAGAGCCCGGCGCCGGAAGGCTATCCGCCCTCGTGGGCTGGGTAGCGCTCCCGCGCAGCGCCACTTTTTCCCATGGAGGCTGTGAGGTGATGCTGAAACGAGATCGTCCTCCTGTCGCCATCCTGCCACTGCTGGCCTGCTTGCGTGCGTGCTCGCTCGGCTTACCTGCTGGCTCGCCGCGCCCGCCGCGCTCGCAGCGCTCGCCGCGCGCGCACCGTTAACTTAGCCTCCGTGGCTTGTTGGCGTGTGTCTGATGAATCAAGCCAAGCTCGCGGCAGCCGCTGGCCGGGCTTTACGGGCACGCCGGGAACGGCAAGCCGCAGGCCGCCGGCCCAGCGCCGTCGATGGCGTGCAGCGCACTTGCAGGGAGACGCCGCTCGGCTGGCGAATCAAGGGGCCTGGCGTCGCCTGCACGCCACCGCGCCTGCTTGTTTGACTGGCCATGCAGAGCCAGGCACGGGGCGCTGCTCTCAGGGTCGTCGCCGGGTCGTCGCCAACCACGGCGGCGCGCGCAGCGCCAACGGCGAGCAACCCTCTCACCTCCTCGCCCGCCGTCCCATCATCATCATCTCCGCCGCGCTCCGGCGCCCGGGCTGCGCAGAAAATTTTCGAAATCTCAAGAGGGGCGCGCGGTGGCGTGGCGCCTCTGCGCTCTGGCGCATCGCGCGCTGATAAGCGGCGCGGGCTGCAGAGCGTTCTCGAAGCACGTAGCGGCAGATCATTCACATGCTATGCGACACGAATTGCTATCCGCTAGCTAGCCATACCGCCCACGGGCCACGATCTGAGTGGCAGCAGGAGATACGGCCCCATTCTCACGCCGGCCGGATCCAACGACGGCCACTGCCAGCCATGCCGCCGCTGTCCAGCTGGCCCTCCCGAGCCCGCGCCCCGAGAGTACCGCCGCTGGCGACGCCGGGAAGCGCAAGAATCGGCGTGGCGCCCGCGGGAGGGCAGAGCCGCAGGCGGTGCAGGAGTCGCCGCCAGCAGGAGTTGCGGACAGGGCGGGCAGGGCGGGCAGGGCGGGCAGGAGATGCAGGAGTCGCAGCACCGTGATGGTGATGGTCGGCCTACACGCGTCCGCCGCTGGCGACGTGCACCCATGGGAGCCGTGCTCCGCTCCCGCCAGCCGGTGGAGAGAGGCCCGGAGAGCCGCAGGGCCAGCGGCGACCAGAGTGACCCAGATAAAAATAACAGGCTCGATTTGACTCCTCGTGAAAAATGTAGGTTTTGTGGGTCTGCCAAACCCCGACAAGCCTGCGACCGCATCCGCTGGCGCCGAGACGGCCATCCCCGCTAGACCCAGTCTCCCTGCGGCTGCGATAGCGACGGCGACGGCTGACGAGTCCACCGCCAGGGAAAGAAGTGCGAGCCCGTGTCTCCTGGTGTTGTACCATCCTGCTTTAAGGACCCGCCCTGATCACCACTCCCGTGCCACCTCCAACACCGCCCGTATGCCCAGTCGATCCCGCCGCCCGCACGCGCGCAAAGCACGTTCGCTCCGTTGAAATTGCCCTCTCGTCAAGCACTCCTCAATACACCCACACGCATTGTGAGACTTGCCCCCCCGTTCCGGGCTGAAAAAAAACCGCCCTCTGTTGAGGCCCAACTGCACCTCGAATCTCGCCAGCACCCTTTGTCCTGTGCGGTTCCCACTCTCCACGTACAGCCGGACCCATACACCGCCGAGTCGAGTGGTCCAGAGCGTAGATCCGACCCTCTTCCCTCGCATCAGCAGGTCTCTTTGTTGCGGCGTGAGCGGGAACGTCATAGCTTCTCCGTACCCACTCCGCACATATGAACCCCCAATGGGACCTCCACGCCTCCGCCGAAGACTGGCACCTTTTTGCGGAGATGGCCTCTAACTCCCAGGACGGACCAAACCACGGCAGTGACCACCAGGATGATGGCACCAGAAGACCAACCGTCCCGCAAATCGTCACCGACGGCACAAACTCCCCCAGCGACCCCATCATGACCAATTCCAGCGATACCAAGCCCAAGGGCAAGCGAGTCGGCTTCACCTCCGCGCCCTCTTCCGGCGACGACTCGCCCAACGCGGCCGACACCGCCAACCTGCACCTCCAGCCGCGTCCCTTCTCCACCTACGGCGCCCTCCCCTCCAACCCGACCTCCGGCGCCACCACCCCCTTAGGGGAGGGCTACCTCTCGCCTACCCCCACCCGCCAGAGCGCTCCTCCAGCTCCTGACGAGCTCGTCAAAGCTGTGCACAAGGCCTTCGGGCAGCCCATGCCCGCCAAGCCCAAGCCCGCCATCCGGAAGACTCCATCGATGGGCCTGAGCAACCCCTTCTCCTCCAACAACACCGAGTCGGATGACGAAGACACGCCCGCGAAGAGATCGAGAAACGAAGCCCTGGAGCGCGCCAACAGGTTGGCCAAGAGTGTAGGCAGTGCCTCGGCGCCGTCGTCGAGGAGGAATTCGTTCGATGGAGGAAGGGGTGAAAAGGCCGTCGAGGCCGGCCCCTCGAGACCAAAGACCCTGGCAGCTGGCCTCGCCAGGGACCGGGCCCCCCGCAAGAGCGCCTTGCTCGAGGATGTCGTCTCCCAGGACGAGGAGGAGCCTGAGCCGTTGTCAGTATCGGAAAAGAGGAAGGCTCGGGAAAGCACGCTGGATGAGGCGAAGAAGCTAGTGAAGAACCACACCCGGAAAAGCCAGTACCAAAAGGCCTCGCTCCACGCCGAGCCTCCCCCATTCATCTCGAGACCCACCACCCCAACCATGGAGCGTGCTTTCGATGACTACGTCGCTCCGCCGCCCAGGTACCGTGGCGGCATCTTCGGCGCTCTGCTCAACCTCTACGGCACGCAGGGTGGCTTCCAGGGTGGCATGCAGGGTGCCCAATGGTCGCATTCTCGCACCAACAGCAACACGACGCTGGGTAGCGGGATGAACACGCCCGGCGGCGTGACGCCTGCCATCGCGACGCCCCAACAGTCTCCACCGACCTCTGGCACCAACACTCCCGTGACCCCGGGCCAGAGGAGACATTGGTACGCCCGCAGCCAGCATGGGCAGCAGTCGCAAACCTCTTTGGCACAGCTCGTCGGCTCGTCCTCCATGCTCGCTTCTCCGGGCGCGTCTCTCGACTTCGAGCATGACGTTGCCGATAAGGTGAGGCGCCAATCGCGGCCTGGCATGGGCAAGAGGACACGCAGCGGCGGTGCCATCACCTCCGCCATGCAGCGGCTGAGCAAGCCGCGCCTGGAGGACGAGATCCGCATCACCGTGCACATCTCCGAGGTCATGGCGCGCCAGCGGTACCTGATGAAGCTGTGCCGGGCGCTGATGAAGTACGGTGCCCCGACGCACCGCCTGGAGGAGTGCATGAAGATGTCTGCCCGCATTCTCGAGATCGAGAGCCAGTTCCTGTACATCCCGGGCTGCATGATCATCTCCTTCGACGACTCGTCCACCCACACGACCGAGGTCAAGCTCGTGCGTGAGACCCAGGGCGTCGACTTGGGCAAGCTACGCGACACGCATGCCTGCTACAAGGACGTCGTGCACGACCGGATCGGCGTCGAGGAGGCGACTCAATGCCTCGAGGAGATCATGAAACGGCCGCAGAAGTTCAACCCCTGGTTCCTGGTGCTGATGTACGGCCTCGCGTCTGCATCCGTTGGCCCCTTCGCGTTCGAGGCCAGATTGATCGACCTTCCCGTCTGTTTCCTCCTGGGATGCCTGGTCGGCTTCCTGCAACAGATCGCCGCACCATCGTCCACGCTCTTCAACAATGTCTTCGAGATCAGCGCTGCCGTCCTGACATCCTTCCTTGCCCGCGCGTTCGGTTCGATCCGAGGCGGTGAACTCTTCTGCTTCTCCGCCCTGGCTCAAAGTAGCATCGCGCTGATTCTGCCCGGTTACATTGTCCTATGCGCATCGTCAGAATTGCAGTCCAAACATCTGGTTGCCGGCTCCGTCCGCATGGTCTACGCCATCATCTACTCGCTCTTCCTGGGCTTCGGCATGACCATTGGCATTGTCCTCTTCGGCGTCATGGACAAGGGCGCAACGTCGTCGCACCAGTGCACCAACACCATGCCGACCAACTACACCTTCTTCTTCGTGCCCGCCTTCACCATCTGCCTGTGCATCATCAACCAGGCCAAGTGGAAGCAGATGCCCGTCATGGTCACCATCTCCTTCGCCGGCTACGTCGTGACCAAGTTCAGCAGCATGCGCTTCCAGGGCAACACGCAGATCAGCAGTACGCTGGGTGCGCTGGCCATCGGCGCCATGGCGAACCTGTACTCTCGCCTCGGCACCAAGGCCGACAACCTCTTCCTCGACATTTACGAGAACCACGTGCGTCCGCGCTACCGCGCCCTGCGCCGCAAGGTCACCGGCAGGAAGGAGGACCTGCGCAAGTCGTACAAGGTCGCCGAGGACATTCTGCCACCGTCGTCGTCCAGCGCCTCGGAGATCTACACGCCCCGCGCGCGCAAGGTCGGCTACGGTGTCGCCGCCGCCGCCATGCTGCCCGCAATCTTCGTGCAGGTCCCGTCCGGGCTGGCTGTGTCCGGCTCGCTCATCTCGGGCATCACCTCCGCCGACCAGATCGTCCACAACAACACGGGCAGCACCACGACGCTGCAGGCTGACGGCACCGTCAACAGCGCCGCCTTCTCTGTCGGCTACTCGGTCATCCAGGTCGCTATCGGTATTACTGTCGGTCTGTTCCTCAGTGCGCTGGTCATCTATCCGTTCGGCAAGAAGAGGAGCGGTCTGTTCAGCTTCTAAACCGGTAACTTGAAAAGAGGTCATACGGGGCTGTGAATGCACCTACCTTTATCATCCTCATCACCAACACCGCCGTCATCGCTGGTCGATGTACGCCCTCAACCTTCTCCTTGCATGAAATCTCCTTCTTCTTTATCCGCATCGTTGCTCCGTCTCTTTGCAAGTTCTTTTTTTTTTTTTCCTCCAACTCATGTCACGACTCTGAGCGTCCGTTTGTCCGGTCTCTCTTTTTTGTTAAGCGTCGTTCTTTTTAGATCGTCCTGTTTCCGTTGCTTTGATACCATCCGCTTGCCTTTCTTTTGATCCTCCGCAAAACGAATCCGATCATCCTGCATACTTAGACAGCGTCGTTCCTTCACCTTTTTGGCTGCGCTCATTATTAGATTAGATCAAACGAAAGCATTCTAGACTGGTGTTCAAAAAAGGGGAGGGTTTGGGATATGAAAGTAGTGTTGTGGGGAAGGGGCGTCCAAGTCGAGCGTTCTTCTTTGTTGTTTTTGAAATCCGCCGGCTCCTGTATTTCCATTTTATTGTCTCAACTGGGGAGGAACAATAGAGGGGGGGGTGACCAAAAGTCATGTACTTTTCTTCTTCTGTTTTACGTTGCCTCTTTCTTCCCTTTGGGTTGTTGCTTCTGGTCAAGCACCCTCCTCTCTCCCCGGATTACTTTCTGTTTTCCTTGTTGTCAAACCGCCTGCCAGCGTTGAAGCGTTGCTCTGATATTGCATCTCCTTGAGGTTTTGTCGTTTTCTCCTGTTTTCCAGTCGAGCTGTCTGATTTCCTTTTTTTCTCGGCGCATCGTGCAGGCGTTCGTATTTGCCTCCTCTTGTCTTTTCCACCTTTTTATTTGGTTGATGCCATCTCTTACGAAACTTCAAAAATCTGGAAGGGATGAGGGGGCAAGTTCTCCTTTGGTTTAGCATTGGATTTTGGTTGGGATCATTCAAAATGGCATCGATTTCGCCTCTTGCGCTTTCGAAGATGAAATGAAGGATGTGAAGAGTGAGATCCAAGGTTTGAAGTCCACGGAACCTATTGCTGACACAGACTCTCTGACCGCCGGACCTCGCCGCAGATCCTTCCGATGCAACTCCGTGGGTTCCTCGTGACCAGAGAGTGTATGTGCGTCTTGTGTACGCGTGTGGGTTGAGCGAGTAACGTCCGTGATTGTTGCAGGGAGGAGTTATTTCCGCGATTGGTGCATGCTCTCTTCATTTTATGTCCGTGATGTCCGTGACGACGACCGTGCTTGCGGTCACGGAACGGTAAGGTACGGTAAGGTACGGGTACGGTTTTCGGAAAGAGAACACGGAAGAGGATATCGCAGCAGCAGTGCCGGCAACGCTTGCGGACAACGTCCCTCGCAACCTGTGAAAGTGTTTGTTGGATCTACTTAGATGACCCCGCTCAGGGTCTCGGTACCTTTAGCTGGGAATAGCCGGCTCTGCTTCCAACCCCTCATCCGCTGCTCGCTGGTCGGCTGGATTGCGAAGGCTTGTTCGAGGGTGCCATTTCCGAGAAGAGGGTGGTAGTATGAAACACTCTCCCTTACGGGACTTCATGTCATGCGTGCCGGCCAGTTCTCGTCCTCCTCCCTGTCTCGCAGTCTCGATTGTAAGCGAGCCAACGGACAAAGGACGAGCTCGCGCGCAAACACGGGGCACGGCCGTTCATGACATCAAAAGAGTCATTCCCGACGTAGAACCACTTTCGGCAAACAGGCGAGCGAACGACGATCAACGGGTTCTTGAAGTCGACTCAGCGTGCGCATATGCTGGCATCGCTTTCCTTCGCGCAGGAGGGACCATAGAAAAACGATGCTAGGCTGGCCTTGCGGAAGAGCGCTGCTTTCATCGGTGCTGTCTCTATTACTAAATCATCCAGAAAGTACCGTTCGCGCTCCATGAGACAGGCCGCGCTATCGAGAAAGCCTGGACCAGGGACGCGAAGGAGCGAAGACCAGGTACCCGCGGAAGAGTACTGCCGGAATACCCGCCTCTTGCGCTAGCTCCCTTGATGGACCCTAAGCACAAGAAAAAAGGTCAGCTCTTCTACTAATCCGATTAGCCCCACAACGCTAACGGCGAGTGATTAGTCGTGGAGGAGTGGGCGAAGGGCAAAGTGGATGGAGAAAAGATAACAAGAGAGCGAGAGCACCGTGCTCACACTCCTTTACATTTTTGGAATCGTGCGCCCCTATCCCGATCGTTCATCGTCAACGCATAATGATGCATGAGCGCACGCTCGCGCAAGTACTTTTTGTCAACTGTTGGTACGCCGTAGGGCTGATGCTTCTGCGTCCCTGCTTCTGGGGAGATGAGACCTCACAAAGCCCGTTCGTCCTCCGTTAATTCGGCGGTTTTCCCTGGAGCGGCTCGTCATTGTTCCATGGCAGAGAGTTAGCCACCGCCGATCACGCGGAGACAACGGTCGCTCGTTAACACCGAGGTACATAGGGGCTGGCGTGTACTGTGTAAACAGCAGTAGGGTGTGAGGGACAAGGGGAGCGCCAGGTACCGAGGTTTTGTTGCCAGCAAATCCCACCAATGCACAAGGCTTAAATGTTTACAAGCGTACTGCCCCGTATAAACAGACAAGGGTAGATTGCGTAGCCTACTCGTAATCGCCACCCTGTCTCTCCTTCCCTCGTGGCCGAGAGGGGAGCAGGGTAAACAGAGCGTCGACCAGAAAGAGTAGGGGTTGCTGGGGTGGAGACGAAGCGAAGAAGGGGCAGAGTGAAACCCGAGACAGCGTTGCGCAATGGACAGGCGCTAGGCGGAGCAGATCATCTTTTCCTCCCCCCCCCCCCGAAGTTAAAAAAAAAAAAAGTCCGATAGGCACAGAGAGGTGGTGGCGCTCAACGTCAACGAGATGAGCTGGAAAAGAAGGGAACTCGGACGAACGGGCGATGCGCTGCCGCTGGATCATATACACGGTCCCATTTCGGCAGGACCCTGTGCCAGTCATGCCAGCTGACCAGGCGTCCAGGCTATGTGGGCTTTTTTCTCTTTCTTTCTCTTGAGGCTGCCTCTGCCCTCGCAGAAATCACGAGGAGAGCAGTCGAACAGCCGTGGCGAGACCAGGAGATGAATCATGAAATGCACAGCGCATGAAGCATAAGTGGGTCGTTCCCTCGCAAGTGAGATGACCGCAGGCGGTTTCCCCGGACAATGCCATGTTGGGAGATAGTGGGCGAGCATCGAAATTTGACAGCAGCCGTTCCCCAGATAGTAAGAAGAGGCAGACGGCGGCTCGCGAGACTAGCAGGTGGTGGCAGTTTCACGACCACATGGCATAGACATATCGGCATCCCTGCCGGCTTGCCGTTCGTGCGGACAATTTTCTTGATGCTTGTTGGGCAGGCTAGGGCGTGCCGGTGCCGGGGCTGAGCACAGCAACGAACGTTGGATCGGCGCAGTGCTTGCACAGCAGCAGTGGCAGGAGAGCATCCCGCAGCGCAGCCGGCCGAGCATCAGGTCCAGCTGGCCGGTGTGGCGTAAGGCGGGCTGGCGGTGGTTGGAAGGCGTTTGGCCGTGAGCGAGCGCCATTGGCCAGTGGCATATCGCGCCCTTGCGGATCAAGCGCGCCAGATGCAAGGAACGGTTCCAGAACAATGTGAACTCCACCGAGGTCGCTGCAGCGTTGGCCCGATCCAGCGCCGAGTCTGAACGCATCTGCAAGGACAAGCGGCAGGCGGCCGCTTTCAGCCGGCCTGAGGCATCGCGAACATGGGCATGCTGGCGGCGCTGGTGGTGATGAGGCTCGCTGGAGATCCGATGCTGCACAGGGGCGATCAGGCTAGAGGCCGCGGCTCGCATCTGGAGGGTGTGGAGATCCTGAGTCGTGGAAATTGATGCCACGAGGCTCTCGCAGTGCGGGCGCGCGCAAGCGACCAGCGCTTCTGCCGACAGCCCTCCCATTGGCAAATGGCGCAGATCACAGGGCTGCTTTAGGACGCGCCCGGCGACGAATGTGGGCATTCGGCCGCCGCAGGCCGGCGCCGTGACGATCGTTGCTTCGCAGCCCTCAGCCCGCAGCGTCGGCAACGGGAGCGCGCTGCTGGGGGCTTGGGCTTGGGCGAGCGGGTGTTCTTGTATCGCGCTGAGACCGCGTGCAACACCGCAGGCAGCCCCCAGCGAGGCGGCCGCGACGCGCAGGGCGGGCCCCTATTTCTAGCCTCGTTCTGGAAGGGCGTGGAGCTGTGATACTTGGCCCGTCGGGGATGAGGACGAGGGTGTGCGACGCTGCTGCAGCGCGGCGGGCCAGGGTCCGTTGATTCGGCGGGCGCCGTCTGATCTGCGGCGCCGGCTCGACTGGCATGGCAGACGCACCTGGCGGCGGGGCGCGTCGACCTGCAACCTGCGACAGGCAGTGCCGCAGCACCGGGAGGCGGCTGGGCGACATGATGATGAGAGGAGCGGGCGGGCGGCGAGGCCTGCGCGCGGGCGTGCTGCGGGTTGGGCATGGCGGCGGCGGGCGCGCAAATTGAGGCCGGCGTGCCATCGCGTGAGGCCGGAGGGTTAGCACAGGCCGAGAAATTGGGTGATTTGCTGTGCACATCTCGCCCACCCACATCCGCCATCGCTCGCCTTTAGCCTCGACAGGCGCAAAGTCTCCTTGGCCGCCCGGCGCCCGCTAGCCCCGATTCGGCACGCCCTCGCCGCTGGGGCTCCCCTTAACCGCGTCGTAGTCAGCATCCGCGCAGTTCTCTTGAGCCCGCCGTCCACCTCCCCATCCGTCCTTTTCCTTGTGTTGCACTGCGTCTCCCCCATCGCGCGCCTGCGGCCTCTGTCGTCTCCAGCTGCATTATAACTGGCGCCAGCACTCGACCTGCGAGCGCGCCCCCGTGCCCCCCCAGCCGCACCCTCTCTTCCGCTCGCTCCCTACCCACGCCGACGGCCGAGTCGGACTCGCCTGCCGTTCATCTCCTTCACCTGAGCTCCTCGGCAACGATCGACCGCTCTGAAACTCAAACCTCCTGCTCGACCCGCGCCCACTCC